ATTGACCGGCAGACAAAAAACTGCCATGTGACCCAGACACACAAAAGAACTGAAGTAAGTGAGTGCACTGCAAGTAATTAAGTGCGTCTAATTCGATTAGTGGCAGTCCACTTGTTTGCCAATTTGCCAGCCACAGCCACAACTGCCACCATAAATCATAAATCATGTATGCATGCTCACGCTAATGGGCCTGTTCAACTGCAGCAGCAGCATCATCCGCAACCGCATCAACTGTTCATTGTCATCTGTCAGCTGATTACATCATCACCAGAACAGTCTAGCTAAAAACGTCAAAGCTAAAGAAAATAGGCTTCTTTCTTTCCGGCAACTGATCACCCTCTGGTATTTACAGCACGATTCTCCAAAAGTGCAGCACCGCTCAACGTTTTTTAATTAAATTAAAATTCTCTGAATATCCTGCTGCACTACACCTAAACTACCACCGTCATGAGGACCGTGTTGTATAGACAGTTCATCAGCTGAGACCTTTAACTAACTAAAACACCAGCCTCACCATGTCCGGCTCCTGTAGTCGTCGTCATCAACGTGATCTCGTGTCTGCAATGCAACTTTTAGTGATTCCATTGATCTTCTTCTNAAATAGGTTTTTTCTTTCCGGCAACTGACTACCCTCTGGTATTTACAGCACGATTCTCCAAAAGTGCAGCACCGCTCAACGTTTTTAATTAAATTAAAATTCTCTGAATATCCTGCTGCACTACACCTAAACTACCACCGTCATGAGGACCGTGTTGTATAGACAGTTCATCAGCTGAGACCTTTAACTAACTAAAACACCAGCCTCACCATGTCCGGCTCCTGTAGTCGTCGTCATCAACGTGATCTCGTGTCTGCAATGCAACTTTTAGTGATTCCATTGATCTTCTTCTACTGTTTTTTGTGGCTTCCACAGCACTTCCAAGCAGCCCCTATGCCACCACCGCCATCATCGCCGAGTAGCTGGACAGACAAAAAGAACACAGGTGAGTACACTAATGCAAACACAAATTGTGCTAGGTTGAGCATAAACTAAAGGAGATTTTAAATGTTTTTAAATGGGATTTCTACTGCTTTTCAACCTAAATGTAATTTTGTTTTTACCAGATGCGACTCACAAATGGCAGAAATTGGCTAAAGCTCATATAACACGCCANTCAAACACAAATTGTGCTAGGTTGAGCATAAACTAAGGGGGATTTTAAATGTTTTTAAACGGGATTTCTACTGCTTTTCAACCTAAATGTAATTTTGTTTTTACCAGATGCAACTCACAAATGGCAGAAATTGGCTAAAGCTCATATAACACGCCATTTTTCGGGCAATCCCAGAGCTCAGCCAGTTGCCAAAAATGTGATTCTTTTCATCGGCGACGGCATGGGCTTGACAACAGTTACTGCAGCAAGAATATTCAAAAGTCAGTTTAAAGCTCAACAGAGTTCAGAAAACTTTCAAGACGAAGAAGAAATTAAAAGTGAAGAACCAGAATGGACTCAATCAGCTGAAGAGGATGAACTGTCATTTGAAAAATTTGAGCATGTGGCACTAAGCAAGGTAATTTTGTTTGTTGAAAGTATAGTGAAAGTGATAAACTAGAAAAAAATCTGATCAACTCTAAAAGATCAGCTGATGACGATTGCAACAAAATCAATTGCAACATCGATCTGAACAGTATTACTTCCCGCCAAATAGTAAAATAACCATTAGTACTCTTACAAAACCATAAAAAAGTTTGTCGTGTGAGTTAGCTATTAAATAAACCATTTTGCCACTCCAAACCATTTAGAAATCGATCTGTCTAGAGACGAAAAAAATTTGCAGAAAAAGTCCGTTTGTGTGATGCACTTCACGTGACAGACACGAGACAAGACGATATAAAACAAACAAAAAATCCTTTTTAAATTGCACCTGAAATGCACCCACAAATGCTAACAAAAAGTACTATTTGCCACTGTTTTAGCAGCGTAAAATGTGCTAATAAGTTGCGTGAAAGTGGTTTCAAGTTTACGCTCTCTTTTCAGGCTATTTTTTGTTTGAAGTTATAAAAATGTGTTTGTACGGCAATATTAATGACCACCTAGATGGTGCAAACAAAACCCGTGCCACTAATGACAAAACTTATTTATCAATGGTGCATAGTTCTTCTTTGGTGGCATAAAATAAAAGAAAAAAATTCTGGTGAACCGACACCACTGCCAAAAAGAATCTCCTTATTCACACGCCCTCTTAAATTTCAGCAACGTTTCTTGTCAGTCAGTTTCTTATTTTATGCATTTATACAAAATTTTTATTCACTATCGAGCTTGAGACTACTTGCTGACGCTGCAAATCTGTAGAATCCAGTGATTTTTCTAGTGTTTGCTAATGAGCTAATTAGCTGGTGTCGCGTTCTAAAGCAACTTTTTTGCTTGAAAGATAAGTAAAGGAAAACAGTGCACAGCAAAGTGCGTCATCAATTAAATTATGCAGTGACCAGCAAACAATCTTAATTATCTCTCTCTTTCTTCTTTTAGACCTACAATCTCGACAGTCAAGTGGGTGAATCGGGTGCCTGTGCCACGGCGTTGATGTCCGGCGTAAAGGCCAACTTTGAGACGATTGGTCTGAGCGGCCTGGCAAAGCACAACAACTGCACCTCAACCTTTGTCGAAGGAGGACGAGTGTCCAGCATTGCAGAGTGGGCTCAGCAGCAAGGTAAGTGAAATGTACAGTCTAAAGGTTGAGAATTGCGTAAATGTCAAACACTTTTAGAAAAAAACAGTCTAGATTTAAGCTACAACTGCATAAACATCAGCTTCAGTATATTTTCCTGCACTCCGCCTGCTCAGCCAACCGCAAATGGGGCAGTTTATCTAGCAGAGAAAAAGAAAACAGGGCAAAACACAGCACAGTGTGCACTAACTTAATAATAGACCGAAAAAAGATCACTGCATCATCTGACATAATCAGTCTCCATCGACTGCTACGGCAGTAACAGAAGCGACATGGAAGAAAGAGGTACAAAAAGAGGGCACAAAAGCTCTGAAAGAAAAAAGAAGGAAAGAAAGAGTGCAGCATTGTTTGTGCAATTAAACAGAGGGCTGCTGCTTGTGCATCTGCTTTCAAGCCGAGGAATCTTTCCGTTTGAACAACAGTCGTTTTGGGGGTAAGGCAGGCGCTAAAACTAAAGAGAGGAAGAAGAAGAAGAGTATCTTTGCTGTCGCAGCTTTAGCAATGTGCTTTGCACAGTGGCGGTTTATGCACAGAGACTATGCATTGAACAATTAATCATCAGAGGGATGCTTGCTTGCTTGCACTCTGGCTTTCATGTCGGTTGTGCCTGTTTGTGTTCAACACCAAGACACAAAGCCCTGTGCAATGTCTCACATTACTCTGCCTGTTTAGTTATGTGTGTCTCCAAATGAGCAAGCAGTAGTAGTAGTAGTAGTGGTAGTGATGCTGTTGATGCAGTGGCACCGAGGTTCTGATGAAATCGAATATTATCTGCATCAGCAAGTCATATATCTCTCCCATCCTTTTTCTCGACTACTGGACAGTGTGGAAGCTCATCCCGAGATGGCCATTTCTCACCATAAATCACCACATCTAGCACCATCCAATGATGAAGATGACCACCACCACCAGAAGAATTAGCAGCATTTCCAAGTGTTTGCTTTCATTAATCGAAATACAAACCATTTCGGCACTCATTCTCTTTTGCAGTGCGAGAAAGAGAAGAGCGTTTTCAAGTCAAGCGAACAAGTGACCGTTGCCTTTGGTGCGATCACACTTGAGGAGAGCTCTGTGCCGCTAAATGTGATTATTGGCAATATAATAACTAGATTAGCGTGAGAAGAAGACGCAGATGAAGACTGCTGTATTAAAAGAAATAGTTGTTGCCGACTCAACGACTCAGCTAATAGAATCAACGAGGCGACCCATAAAGTGAGCGGGTAAGAAGGCGCAAAGGGGAAGATTTGAGAAAGACTCTGGTAATAGTAGAAAGAAGAGGTGTCTCCTTTTTTCTGGCAAAATCATTCCAAAAATAACACAAATTGTAAACAAAGCAGCCTATGTGACAAACATTTGCAATCAAATCAAATCAAAGCAGTGAATTTGATTTTCCAGTAATGACCTCAGATGACGACAAGCGATGATGATGATAATGATGATGCAGCGTAGGCAAGCAAGCAAACAAACAAGCAAACCGACCAAACACGGACCACTGCCAAACCAAATTGGGCAATTTGATAGCTTTGGGTGTTTAAGGAGGCCATTCAATCAGGAAACGAGTGGTGACAGTCAGTCAGAGAGGATTGCCGTTTGAGGCAGCAGCAGCAGCAGTTTAGCCAACAACTGTCACCACTTGAGCAGACCACAAAAGTGAGGCCACGATATTACTGAAAAAAATAATTTGCTAACAGCCCGCACCCCGTCCACTGGTGCAAAACAAAGGGCAATCGATCTTCGAGCACAAGTTGACAGAAAAGTGGTGCCGTTTAGCAGCAAGACCGGGCCAATGTCAGATACAAACGGCACACCACACACACACTGTCGTCACTGGACAAAGAGAAACAAAATAGATTGACGGAATTTGCGTCTTTTGCAACTAGGCATCAAGGACGCAGACACAAACCATCATCATCATCAGTTTTGAAACAGCAACAGCAGAAATTCTGTCGGCAAATGCTAATCGGCAAGAAAAAGCGGCGCAACGGCGAGATTACATGCAAACGAACATGGCGAGCGCAAATCTTAAGTTCCGGAACGGTTTGTGCACTCTTTCTTGCTTCAACCACAACATGCAGTTCTAATGGAAAATGATGACCATTTTCTACTTTGAAAAATCTTTCTTTCAATTGCAAAAGCATGAGCAGTTTCATTATTTGAAAGCAACCAACAAGCGTGGCCGCAGCTACGCTGCTTAAATTCAATAGAAGGAAAAACAGCGAACAGCATTCTCCAGCAGCAAAATGTGATATAAAAAGGGCACAAAATGATCCAAACATAAATCACCTTCTTGTTATTAAAAATAAAAAAATGAAAAATTCTGAAAAAAAATATACACTAGCTTTGTCGAGAAAGAAGTTGATGTAAATGACGCTTACAGCTAATCGAGTGTATCGGACAGCCGTCCGCTCCTATCGTCCGACAGAAAAAAGAGAGTTAATCTAAAGTTTTTTCCGAGCAACAGCAGCCACGACACAAAAAGCGCAAAAACTGCACTTTTTAGTCCAAAAGCTCACTACTTTACAAAGCCACACTGGCCACATTAGTACTTGCAGCGAATCTGATTACTGCTAAACGGAGCAGTTTTCGTCTTGGAGCAGCAAAAAGAAAAACAGAGTTTTAAAAGGTTAAAATGGCAATTACTTGCCGGGCTAGTAATAATAAAAATGCAAGCAGGCAAGCCAACACATAACACAAAACACACAATATTACTCGGGAAAGAGATGTTGCCAGTGGCTGAGGCCACTGAGCAAGTTCACGCTAAGATGAGTTATAAGGAAAGAGAGCCCTGTGTGCTCTGTTCACTGGGCGGCACTGACAACGCCATTCTTCACCAGAATCTCACTCTCTCACTCTTATTTCCTACTTGTCACTGGTCGATAACACACACACACA